CCTCCCCAAACCCCCCCCCCCCCCCCCCCCACCACAGACACTCTAACCACACACACACACACACACACACACGTACAGGCATAGCACACCTGCCAACTAGGACTGCATAAAATAGCTCAAATAAATCTATAAATATCAATGCAATTACTCCAATTTGATTAAAAATAAAACAATTTCAAGTGCCACTGTGTTAGATTCAGAATGTTCAAACTATAAAATAAAGTATAAATCTGATTAAAATATTCCATATTGTTTTTCACTTAACAAACAAAAGGTCCATTAGGTAGCATTACTAAATACAGTACATTCATATTTACTAACAATGAGCAATAAACTGTTCCAGTATTTATTAATCTTTGTTCATGTGTAGTTAATAAAATAGAGCTGTCCATATTAGCTCAGGTCCATTAAATTATTATAATAATATTTTTTTATTATAATAATGTATGATTAAATGTTAAAATTAACATTAAATAAGATTAACAAATGCTTTAGAAGTATGTTTTGTTAATGTAGTCAACTAATGTTACCAAACAGAACTTTATAACAGAAAGTGTTATCAGAATAATATATATCTTCATTTATATATGAAAAATGTGACATTGAAACTACACAAAATGATCAATGAATCAGAGGTTTGATGTGTTGAAGTTTGAAGTGACTCACAGAACTGAATCAAATGAATCAGCTCTGAAGGTTTGCACTGAACAAATCACTGAATCAGTTTTAAATCAATTCATTGAAATGGACAGTTTGAACTGATTCAATGAACTGAATCAAACGTAAAAAACTCTTTACCAGCTCCATTTTTTCTACTCAAGAGATGTTATTAAAATGTTTTCCTTAACGCTTTCATACTTGCCAATCACAGGTCAGGAAACATTGCAAAACTAGTCTAATGATACAATGTTAGGAAACCTGATATCCAAATAACAATAATGCTTATTTTATATCTCGCTAGCAAAAGCATCACGCACATATCAGAAATACTTGATATATCCCCCAGCCCTGCAGCCTGTCCAAACATGTGCTACAGAAAATATACTCACATGCACAACACACAAACGCACAGATCAGAAGAAAACACATTTGCATACAATGTATTTGCATACAAACTTTCATGCACACACCTGGAAGGGTCCGCTCGGATAGATCTCAGCATCTGCCTTCCTCCATTGGGGCCCCTGGTGTCCGGAGAGAGTCCAGACGGCAGAATCCACAGTGGCGATGCTCTTCACCCTCATCAGAACATTGAGAGTACCTGCAGACACACAGAAAACAGGTCAGAGAAACAGTGACACTTTCACCTTGGCTGTAGACTATTGACTATCACTTTGCAGTCTAGTCTGGCCATAAAAATGCAAATATAAGCATAATATAACTTTTTGATGACAAATGAGAGATGCACAACATTTCTGAAATCAAACAATGGCTCAATCTACACACGTACACAAAAATCACAACTGCACAGAAAACAGTAGATCAGTTATTTGAGAATTTTCACAATCCCAATCAATCAGACTGGACCTTGTGATTCAGATATGCAATTTTTATATGCAATAGATACAATTATTTCTTATAAACAAAAAAATCTGTGCCAACAATTGCATGTTCTTTTACCACCTCAGAAAAAAATGTGTGGGATTCAAGCAATTACTGGATATCAAGGTCCATCAGGATCAATGAATTAGGGCAAATTGAGGATTTGACACAAATTATGACAGATCATTGCTTCTGCTCTAATAAGACCCCTTTGACCCACCGCTGGTGTGAGTAGATCAGCATTTCTCTGAGGGATTGCACAAAGCTCGACTTTACTACTGTGACAAATATAAAGTCAAATACATAACCATTGATCTAACGCAACCAAGTATCACCACTGCAGAACACTGGAAAACTGATTTTTCGAAGTTGTAAAAGTGAGAGAATGTGAAAAGTAAAAGTTGAAAGTTTTGTTTTTTGTAGAATGCACTGGCATGATTTGAAATATGAAATTAAATCAAGCAAAGCACTGTAAAAAT